GTTTTTGTGTTTCCCTTCCCCCCTTGGGTTTGTGAGCCACCCTGAGTCCCGCTGGGAATAGGGCGGCATATAAATAAAACGAAACCTAAACCTAACCTAAACCTCTTCCTTTTCTCCGCAGGGATGAATGCTTTACAGCTACAAAATTTGGCAACCTTAGCAGCTGCAGCGGCCGCAGCCCAGTCCTCAGCCAACACCACCAATGCGAATCCACTCTCCACAGCATCAGGGGCCCTTGGTGCACTCACAAGCCCAGGTACGCACGCTCGAACAGAGTGCTCTTCTTCTCACCTTGGTTCCAAGGAAGGAGGGCAAATAGAGAGATTTAAACATTATCCTCCTCCTAGCCATGTGTGCAGTGGGATTCTGGTACATGAATGATGGGTCCATTGCAGTGGTGGGTTACTACCGGTACGTCCCGCTATGGCCGTACCAGTGCCTGCTGGGAGCACCAGGTACTGTTCCGGTACGGTGCTCCAGAGGGCCCACCCGCCCGCCTGCGCTCCTTACCTGTATTTGAGCTGTTCGGGGCTTCCGCGCACAGAGCGTACGGCGCCTGTGCGACACTCCGCTGAGCAGCTGGAGCATTGCAGGAAGTAAGTATGCATGCATGCGCTGCATGTGCGTGCGTGCTGCACACATTCATGTGGTGGACGGCCAGCCCCGTTGCACCCTACTGGTTGCAACGGGATCCGGAACCCACCACTGGTCCATTGGAGGTTTTATTCCAACGTATTCCTCTTTCTGTGTGGTAAAATATGGTTTTTTTCCCATCAACAATGGAAACTTGGTCAGGGTGTCTTCAGAGGGAGGTGCAAAAGTCAAGATGGCAGCCATGTTGATATGATTGAAGTTCCTTTTTCTAACGTTGTGCGCATGTGCAGACCGTTTTAAGTGCAAATGCGCACGCACGCAGAGCACAACATCTTTCAGGTAGTAATGGCGGCAGGAACCCGCCCCTGTATCACAGACACCATCTTGGCCTATGTGGGTATATCTTGCAGACAGCCTTCCTGAATTGTGATTTCAAATATGTATTAACTCTGTTATTTAACATTTTTAATAAGGACTTCAGATTGGGGGAATCTTAATGAGGAAGCCTTCAAACTGGGGCTGTCCTTTCTATTGCCAAGGTTTCTTTTTGAAAAGACATTTTACCTACTTCACGTGGCTAACCCTCTCGAATAAGAGAACAGAATTTTAACCGGGGGATAATAATTCATTCATGGACCATTGCAGGCAATTTAAGCTTGAGAATTTGGGGAACCATATTTCATTGTGAACATTTTCTACATACTTATCCATTACATTTTCTTTTGATTATTTTTAAATAATTGTAATTTATTTTATCTTTACATTGCACCTAGTAAACATTTACCCTGGTTTTGCCTGTTGCCATATTTATCCAATTGTGTCAACTGTTTATTTCCTTTCAAAAACCCCAGAATGTTAACAATCCTAGAAAAGATGGAGCCTTCTTTGATACTGTTTCTTTTAATTTTGGACACTCTTGGCCTTCTCTTGAAACTTCTGAAAAGCTTTTCAGAGGAAAAGACAAATCTCCTTCTGTGTCCCTCGGCGGAAATTAAATCAGGTTCTCACATCAGGATAAATTTAAAGATTTGTGGCATGGCCCCCATGCAATGTCTAATTTATTCCATTCCTAAACTGCTATTTCATAGAAATGATTGTAATTCTTAGAGGTTCCAGAGAGATCATGGCCCTAAAATGCAGGAATAGCCCTTTTCCTTAGCTTTTCATCCTGAAGCAAAATATACTTTCGTTGACTTGTACATTATTCCCTTTTTATTATGGTATATTAATATGGAGCAGGGGTGGGTTCTAGCCGACGTTATTGCCAGTTCACTCATGTGCACGCTTTGCACACACACACACACACACACAGTTCAATGGAAATTGTTCTGCACATGTGCAGAAC